TAAAGCCATCAATACACTGCGTTCAATAATAGAGAAAAATAGCACAGATAGTGCGGGTGTTGAGTAAACAGAATGATCGCTCTATTGATGGCATGTTTGTATTTCGCAATCCTTCTGCGCGCGCTGAATAGCATCAGCAAAAGCGCGCACGAAAACTGTGTTCGGCCACCTTAAGCGCCACGCGCGCGCTGGGTTGACATTGACGCAGTCAACTACGCTACCAAGTACACGACTAAAGTGAGGGCAAAATTTCCTACTGTGACCAAATAAATTTTAATGTACCTGTACTTAAACCAGGAAGACCAGAGTAGCAGCATATCGTTAACCACTAACTGTGAAAGTCTTCCAGCTGAAAAACCAGCTGTTATCTGTCGAAAATTATACTGAAATCCAACTGTAAACATGTACCTGCAGATGGCCTAGTGCCCGAGCAAAACAAGTGCGAGAAACGCACATGTTTTACTTACTGGGGAGGTGACAGGAAAAAATGTAACAGACACCGTAAAAGTTTTTAAAAAAGATCAATAACTTTAGAAAACGCGTGATTTCTCCTACACTTTATGTTATGAAATGGAAGTGGTAAGCCTATTCAACACGTGATTAGTTTCTGGTTGTGAGCAAAAGGTATTTAGACTGTATTTTAGGTGAGCCAGAGGTAGGCTGTCAGAGACACTAAAAGCGCTGTTGCAACGATTTTGTTATTAAAAACATACCAAGAATGGTTTTTATGTTTCCATTCACCATGTAGTTTTACACTCACTCATCCTCATCGCGCCCATGAGGACTCTTGAGGCCGGACCATGTAGTTTTACTACCATGTAGTTTTAAGATCTATATAAATGTGCTTGCTTTTCTGTATGTAGAGGCAAATTCTAAGGAAATCTGTGAAGAAGTATCTTTTCCTTCTTGTTTCAGAAAAATGCTGATGGCAGCATTTTCGCTGAGATTCAAGGCATAATTATCTCGAAAAAATGCGTGGCTACCCCCATTTTTTCTTTGTGGATTCCAATAGCCCTTACAAAGATCTACTTTTTTCGCGTGGTCCTAACCTGGCGCAAAAAATCCTAGTATATAGTAGGCACCGACCTTAAATCAAAGTAAGTGAAAAATGAAAATTCTCAGCTTGACATTGAAGGGAAGCCAACTTTTATATGCAGGAAATATAAAACAACGATAACCGGTGTACGCAACCTTCTGGATTTCTCCGTGTCTCAATTTCCTTCTCAAAATCTCAATTTCAAAAGCCAGGCAGGATATTCTGAAAAGGTAAACAAAGCAGTCCGCACGTTTATACAAGACATATTACCAGTAAAATCTACTTAATGTTGCAGTATTTAACTGGGAAATTGGTATGTTATAAAATTCCACAACTGACCGTAAATTGGTCAGTCCTTCTTTCTTCCTTAGAACTATCTATTCCCGATCTCGTAAAATTTAGTAAATTTTAACGAAACTTTTTCGATGCGCTCAAAATATTGTCGCGAGTGTCGACTTGGGAGTAATATGAAAGGTTGTTATTGGTTTTACTGAAAAAGAAAATTATAATCTTCCTGCGGAAGCTGCTGTGACACAATAGAAGGTTCAACCAATCTAATGAGGGAGATTTCAATATTTTCCCACTCATCAGCGTGAAATTAATTTCCCTATGTCGAAATTAAACAAATTAAGTTTGCCGTCCGCAAATTCACCACGAGCATTTCGTGCACACAGTTAAAACCTGCGCAATGTTATAGCTTCCGTCTTTTATCTAGCGCTTTTGCGACAAAGCAGTCGGGTCTTCCCTTTGGGTAATTTTCTGCCTCGAACATTTCCTTATTTTCGTGCACATTTGTGTAAATTAATAGAAAGATACATAAGGGCCCCACTGTCAAGGATAACACGTCTTGTGCAAATAGGAAGGTGTGCGCTCTGTCATGACGTTTTAATTTGAACTTGGGGGCTGGGAAAATTAAACGTCACCAACGAATTCAGCCGCAAGACTTATACAAGACTGTCGATGCGTTTGTACGCTTAAGTCGTGATACCTTAATTCATATTCACCTTTCTAAAGCATTTGTTGTTTCTTATCTGAATGTGACAGATACTTAGAACAGAGTGATATCAGTGGGTTAGTCCAGACTCAAACTTCAGCTTCATTGAAGTAATTCGCAAATTTCTATACCTTGTAAAACTAAAATTGCAAAGTGGCTGACGGTATTTTTCGCAGGTTTAATTTAAAATTTTTTCAGACATGCACACTGTTAGATTTTGGTTGTTTCCTGTAAGAGTATTAGTGTATGTAGATTGTTCAAAGTCCAAAATAAGATTGACAGCTGGTCAATGTATCAAGAAAAAAAAAAATCCATTTGGATAGGGGTCTGTTTTTGTTGTTTTGGTCAGTATTTATTCTCTAGCGTAAAATTCCATTCATAAACAGGTGACGGTATTCTACTAGACAACCGACAGGAGCTCAAAGCTGAATCAAATGAGCCAATATTCGGCAAATCTTACAATTAGCATATCCTTAATGTAAACATCCTGACATGAGATACGAAACATTGAAACCTCAAGCTACGGAGTTCATTATAATTTCTCCATAACAGCGAATTCAAAGAACTGAATTTTACAGAGGTAAGTTTGTTGGAAAGATTTGTAAAATGTAGTTAACCTGATACATGTAGTTTCGTAATACAAAAGATGTAACAACAAACAAAATGAAGATGTAGAAATACATTAAATTCAAAACGTCAAGCTTCGAAAGAATAAGAGGTTTGGTCTGCGTTATATATTTCAAATACAGTATCTTCGTACAATTTCTTAAAATTCCAGATTTCAGAAGGATTCTTAAAGTACATATGTAGATCTAAAGCGAATGTAGAACTGACTTGTCAAATCCTGAATTGAAAATATCATTTCACATTGCTTCACATTAATTTCACACCCATTCATCTTACTTGTTGTCTTACTCAGACTGCTTAAAAAGAAAATGCATTTCTTCTACAACTCATTGCAGTTATCAATTTTAGTAACAGAATTTAATCCTGATTGAAGGTTTGATTTTGTACTTCTCCGGAGTTTAATATTTTTCTTTTCTATCCAACGTGAATGCAAGGTGGATTACTTTGAATAGCCAAAGAAGCACGTCTACTTTGTTAACTTTTGAAAATTAAAAATTGCACAAAGCAACTATTAAATCAATTTTGCAATAAAAGAAAAAATTCTCATTTGAGCGATGTTTCCACACAAGCCATACTAAGCATGGCAAATATATATATTTATTAGCACCAAATGAGCAATGGTTATTTAAATTTTGCGAACTACAGACGTTAGCAGATGTAATATTTCTTTACATTGACATAGGTGCATGGTTTGGTTTTATATTTGTCAATATTAGAATCGGCGTTTTCACTTTGCATGCAACAAGAGAATATTGTTTAATTTAGTAGTGTGACTCATGTTTTCATTAAATCCTAAAATTGTGTTGAATTTAAAGACATGTGAAATTTTCAAATGAAGCAACGAGGCTGCTTTCATCGTCAATTTTATCGTTCTCGAGTAACTAGAAGAAAAATATTATGGTAACGCACAATGCTTTATTATGCTCTATGAATAATCAAAACTTACACGTAGCTTACCATGTATAATATTTCATTCCTTGCATGCAATTGGCAAAGTTGAAAAGAGTAGGGGCCTGGGAACGAACTGTTCATCAATTCATTGCTTGAACAGGTAATATTCGCCATCAGATAAAACGCCTTTATAGCGATCATTCAGCCGGTCAATTTCATTATTACTGACCAG